TTAAATGGAATACTATACTCTTTTCAAGATTATATAGATTTTGAGACGAAAAATTCAGCAATACTACATATGTTGATTTTGTATTTTATGTATAACTATTCACGCAAGTGAGATTTTAAATACGGCGTTATAGCAGGTTCTGAAGTTTGCGATGCGGCTGAATTTCTAAACGTTTCCACAGTCTCTAAAAGCAAAAATTATATTTTTAAATTTAAAATAGCATTAAGAAACGTATCGTCAGTGAAGCAGTAGAATGAGGGCGTCTAAAGAATTTTCAATACTTCAATTTTAGAAAATATTTGAAGCTATTTTTAAGAAAATTTCAAACTGCCTCAAAGGCTACAGTACCCCGAAAAATGAAGAGGTCTCTCTTAAATCTAAGGTCCACGAATCCCACATCTATCAGAGAATATCCTTTTTAATAAAATTTCTATGCAATGCTGATGATTGAACATGAAAGTGCCACCCATGTCATAATATCGTTAAAACATATCGACTGTGACAGCTAAAAAACATTCTTTTTCAACACACAGTAAAATGTAAAAAGAAAATCAACGATTTTTAATGATGATTAGTAAAATGTAAGATCTGGCTGAGAAATCCAGATAAACGCTTAAAATTTAATAAATAAAAATCATGTCTATTAGTAGAATTCTCCCTCTCAGATCACGTAACAAAATCCATTTTCGCTAAAACGCTGGTGTCATTTCGTCATTTGTCACCACCTCTTCCACAGACGCGGCAAGGCGATGGCTTCCAGGAGCGACACTCCCCTTAGCACATTGCACCACAGCATTTTCCACGGGAAGGACAGTTCATTTATCGCGTGCGTGGCGGATGGCAGTGCGGTGGCAGTGGCGTTGCAGTCGGTGAGTGCGTGCAAGTGGCGTGCATGGCGGTGATGCTGGCAGTGGCGCTGGCGGGTGGCGGTGCCACGGGTGCAGTGCGTGGCGGTGCGTTGCGGTGCGGTGCGGTGCGGTGCGATGGCGTGGTCGGTGCGGTGGCAGTGCGGTGGCAGGTGCAGTGGCGGTGGCCGGTGGCAGTGGCGTGCAGTGGCCGTGGCAGTGCCTGGCAGTGCCCATCGAAGGGATCTAAAGAATATCTCTATCGCCGTCAGTAAATGAAATGAGAAAGCCCGAAATACGTAACCTCATGTTGAAGGCGATGCGTGTTTCTCACTACGGGCCGGCAAACGACCGAAACGGTCGTGTGTGCTGTGTGTGTCGTCCGTTGCGTCGGTACGGTCGAATGGTCGGTCTGGATGGCGGTCTCGAATGGTCGGTCGGGATGTCGGTCGGTCGGATGGTCGGTCGGTCGGTCGGTCGGATGATCGGTCGGTCGGATGGTCGGTCGGTCGGATGGTCGGTCGGTCGGATGGTCGGTCGGTCGGATGGTCGGTCGGTCGGACCGTTTTAGCAATTTTTGAGCATTTCTTTTTAATTTCAAGAAGGTTTTTATGTATTGTGAAGAGATAATTTATAAATTCGAGGTGTTGAAACAGCCCGATCGATTCATCGAGGAATATCCATCTTTTTGAAAAGCATGGACAAGGTAAGAGCGCTACCGCTTTTGATAATTGGACAGAGCTTTCGAGAGAAATCTCTTTTTTACTATTAGGACCCCCTTCAAATCGTGTATTTTCGTAAAAAAAAACCAACAACAACGATAACTATTATTTCCAGCATTACGTAACTTATTCAGTGTGTGTGCATGCATTATGTGTGTATTACGTGTGTACGTATCACTACGAATACGAGAAAGAAGAAATGAATTATGATCTATATGCACATAAAAATTCAGTAACCAACATGCTCAGAGGAAATAATATCTCTCTCTCTCTCTCCAGAATGTAAAACTTTACTTCGGCGTAGGGCCGATTCTAATCTGCGAAACATTGTATAAAACCTTGTGTTTTCTGCATTTTCCGGTCTTCCACAAAATGTTTGGTAAATAACTAATGTATGTAAATTATAGTAAGCATAAAGCAACTCCTTTAACTCAGATGAGATAGCAGGAATAAATAAGAATGAGTTAAATGTTATTACACAGGTTTTCCGTCCTTTAAAGAAGAAGGGGAAAAAGGTTGAATCCCTTCCTCAGTGACTCATTCGACGCCGCAACTGACAGTTTACCCCACCCCCAACCCCCACCCCACCCCACCGCCTATGAAGGTGGTGAAGCTCTCTTCACGCGTCTTTCCCCTGACTTTCTTCTGAGCTATGTCACGTGTGCGGTACCTACTCGCTCCAGTCTCGTCGACGTACTAAAAGAACGCGATCATCACATATATTAATTTTGATTAATTTCTTAAAATTCTTTGCCAGCTGAAATATAACGCGTTTTTTTCTTCAGAGAGTTTATATTGTTTTCGCAAAAGAAAATACAAAACTTACATCTTATAATATTACACAAAACCAGTATATTCTATCTGAGAAGCAATTGTCAGAGATGGATTTCAAAGTGATGGAATTAATCGTTTGCATAATATACAAAAATATTCTATTCTATTGTAATTCCAGTGAAATTACAACAGGGGCGCTAGTGTTTAGTACATGTTACTGTTAAGAACTAAATGGCCACACAAAAATCTATATGCTCCGTGAGAAAACGTTCCACGAGCAGTCTTTGTGCCCGTGCTTTATAAAGTGGAGTGTTACGAAAATTTTAGATATGTGGATTTCACTGATCGATATGTGTATTCTAGTTTGAGAAGTAATCGAGCCATAGATTGGTGATTTACAGAAGTTATCGATTCGTTGATACGTAAAATCGTAACCTGATCTATCCGTTGATTGGTGAAATCATGACCTGATCGATGCGTTGATTGGTGATTCATGACCGGATCGATGCGTTCATTGGCGAATTCGTGAACTCATTGGTTCGTTGATAGGTGGATTAATTTACCAAGGTTTGAAAGTCTTAAAGTAAAAAAGGTGAGACAAATATTAATTGTTGGTGTTTTTAGTGCTTTAAGGTAAGTAAACTAAGATGATAGAGTGATGGCAATAGGAATAATGTGATCAAGTTGTAATCACATTTTAAAACATGCGATAAATTTCAACACGAAAAACTGAATTCTCAAATTGTTTTTTCTAGCATCTAAACCCGAAATTAGGTTTACACATGTTTCAGGGCTTTAAATTGGGCAATCAAATCTTTAATAGATTACTTTCCAAGAAAACTTTATAACAAATACGATTACGAACACGTTTACGTAACCGCTCCTAGGTATCCTCGGTAGATTTCTTCCGAAAGTGTACCTTTCGTGTTGTATCCTGATTACGCAAATTCAATAAATATATGACATTAACATTATATACTAAAGTTCTATTGAAATATATAACATTAATAATAATAATTTCGTTAATAAATATTCGTTAACATACTCCTTTCATATTCAGTTTCAAATAACAATGTTTAATAACAATATATATATTAACACAACATATATATTTATATTATATATAAATAACAATATATTCTGTATTGGATACTCTACTCTATTAGTTTTACTATTGACACACATTTGCTAAGACCTAAAAAGAATATTCTCCTGCAGTTCCCTCCAGTAAATAAAAGTTCTGCATTTCAATATCAATTTTTCCACAACTTTCATCTTATCATAATAAATTTCTCTGTGTTCAATGTTAAGGTGAAATGAGTAAATATTTAAGCAAAAAATCATAATTAATATTACAATGTGACTACTTAATATAAAAATACATACTATTTAATTACATTAATATTCATAATGTAATAATAAAATATAAAAATCTCAATATATAAATATTATAATTATATTAAAAATACCATATCTGTTTACATCAATCATTGCAATTGACATTGAACTGCACAACCAAAATATAAGCTATGACATGAAAAATATGAGCTACATGAGCATACATCTTTCAGGTGGATGGTTTTCTAAACTCCATAGTAATTAACGCTTTGCATACCATTGAGGAATGACAACTAAAGGTGTTTTTTTTAAAAATATTTTATGGGTTTACTATTACCAAAATGTATTCAGTTAATTTAAAGAAGGAAACACTAAAGTGCTTGGATACAGAAAGTCTTACGCCACTTGAGATTGAAAATGTGTTATAAGAAATTTATCCTGTCCCCTAATTAATGACTATCAGATTATGCACTTGCTTCTTTAAAATTATTTTGTTTTTAGGAATGGAAGCTGAGAAGATAAACATTCATGAAAGTGGTGTCCACAGCTCGTTTCAAGAAGACGCAACTTCAATTTATTTTTCAGGTAAAATGTAATTGAAAACATCATCTTACTAAACTGCTGTTAGAAATTATTAATTTAGTTCATGATTCAAAATGGAAGAAAGAAATACCTTAGGAATGCTTTTAATTTATTTTAGTTATCAAAGTTTTGAGAGATTTGACTATAGACAAAACTTATTAATTTCTGAAATAAATTTCTGGCTTGAGTAACTTGCCTGATTCTTTTTCCATTTCAGAATTTTTTAGATACAGTTTCAATGTTATTTAATATTTTTTTCAGATTCAAATGCTGTAAATCGTTCTACAATGGAAATGGATGCAACTCTAATTCATGAATCTTACAAAAATCTTTCACTTGAGCTGTCTGGCAAGAACATTTCTGTATTAGAGCCAGATGATCCTGCATTTACACCTGTTAAACCATTTAGATATGGATTTATAGGTCTGACAAATATTTCTTGCCCTATCATGGAGGGTTTTATTGCAAGTGGTTGTCCAGTAGTTCTTTGGGATAATGAACAGAGTGTGTATAGTGATTCGGTGGCTAGGGCATGTAATGTCATTACCCCCTCTAAGGTTGTGAACATGGCTGAAATCATATTTTTTTCTTCACCAGGAAAATATGATAAAAATCAAATATTGAACAAAATTAGGCGTTTTATAAATAATGGCACAGGACTAATAGATTTAGTTAGCCATGAAAATTCTCTGCCGGAGAATTTTGTTGAGAACCTTCATTCCCAGGGGGGTCGATACCTTCAAATATATACATATGGCAGTGAAGAGTTAGCCAAGAAAGGAGTACTTACTCTTGCTGCTTGTGGTAACAAATCTTTATTCGATGAATGTGCCAAAAATTTTGCACCTGTAGCAAAAAAAATTTTGTATACTGGAGGAATTGAAGAGTTACCTAAAATTAATCTAGTTGTCAAGTACATGCATGGTATAATTCTCTCAGGTATTTCAGAGGGGCTAGCCCTTGCCAAGCACGCAGGGCTTCCTTTACAGGTGTTGTATCAGATTCTCAACCTAACATCATCTGTATCTCAAAAATTATTAGCTGATGCTAAAGTCATTGTAGAAAATATTTATTCCGAAGATCTTTTTTTGAGTCTTTTGAAGGATGTGCATAAGGGTTTAGTACTTGGTGATGAACTTGAATTCAATCTTCCAGTTGGGACTGTGAGTAAAGAGGTGCTGAAAACTATGAATATTATGAATCTGAGAAAGTGTCCTCACATATATTCTATTGTTGACAAAAGGAAACAGAATCTCTTAAAGACAGTTTACAAGAAAAGAAAAGGTAAAAAAAACTGATATATAATGGAATAACTAAAAATTAATGTTAATATTCAGTTTTGTGTGCAATTTTTAATTCATGTTAGAGATAAAACTGTCATTAACATACCAGCAACACCTGAAAATTCAACATGCGAGTGTGTGTTTGTAAATGTTTCCAAATTTAAAAAAATGAAATTTAATAATTTGAATTGTCAGGATCTTTTAACATAAAATTGTTATAAGACATAAAAGTATTATATTCTTATATAATAATTAATATTTTCACATCTGATCAGATAGTTTAAAAGACTTGATAGATAAGGAGTTGTTTTTATTGACTCATGCTGATGTGGGGTACATATTTGTGTATACTTAACTTTCTACTAAAAGTATTATGTATTATACTTAGATGAACAAATTATTTCAAGCCAATGCATACTATATTTTATATTCGTAGTTGGTTGTATTTCAATATAATAATAAAATGTTTAATATTTCTTGAATGCAATTTTTTCATGATCTACCTTTGAAATAAATTCTAGTCACTTCACCTTCCTCCATTATATATTCCACCTCTTTGTACTTTAGACTAAAGATATTTCTTCTTTCAAAAAATTCTAATGAAATAATATTATCCATTCCTTCTCAGAAACTCTCCTTTAAGTTGTCTTTCCTCCTACCTCTGTCAAAACTTTGACTTATCCAAGACACATGAACATGCATTCGACATGCTTCAACTTTCAGATGACATCTTAATGTCGGGATATGCTACATCTAAACTTATGTAACATTTTTTGAATGTAAATATTAACAACAGAACTCTTGCTACACCTAATTTTTAATTCAATTTTATTCTCGTATATTTACATGCTGGTTGTAAGATTTTGAAAAGTTCAAGGATATTGAATGAGGGGTAAATCAACAAATACTTCAAAACTACCCACAGTGATTTTCAATTTTTTTTTGTTACATCTTAATACGAGGTGAAGAGATGTCAGACTCCTCAAACTATGATTACCATGTTGTTTTTTTTTGTACATAGAAAAGTATTACAGTATTTTAAAATTGATAAATTTAAAACATACTTCAAAAAAATGCTAATAGCTGTTTAGAAGTTTCAGGGTTGTTTTGATTTAATTAACACAATGTAATTGTCATTGTCAGATTTATTTTTTTTATTTTACTGAAATTGGGATGTTTTTACCATGTTTTGAAAATTACGTTATTCATCGCCATGGCAAGTTCCTGATCCAACAAATGGAGACGTACTAATTATTTCATTGAGAAGACGTGCATTCATATTTCACAGAGAAAACCTGCAAGAACAGACTTTTTGTGCATTTTGGGCCTTGTTACTCGTTTGCCAGTCTTTATCGGAGTTTTTGTTTACGACATTTAGACCAGTAGTTTTGGCAGTCCACAAAAGCATCTGGACTTTGCCATTTAGTGTTACTGAAAATATAAATTAGTTTTTTTTCTTAAATGTATTATATCTCCTCCAGCTCCTAAATCTAAGGTTAAATTTATATTGCATTTAGACATAACATTGGCAATGTTGCATCAGAAAACTTTGTAAAAATGGAAATTTATCGACGTATCACTTTACCTCATATTCTTGTAAAATGTTTTTTCAGATTCTTCCTTTTTCGTATTTGTGCATGAGAGTTTGACTTTTTATTAAATGTCCATAATAATGATTATAAGTTAATTTAAATAATAAAAATAAATTATGAAAAATGTTTGTTAAACACGTAATATCTCTTCTAATAATTCATAAATATATAGTAAGTGTTGATATGTAAATATAATAAATTTTACATGAAAAAGTAGTTTTAATAACATTTTTTTTCCATCCTTTAACATTTGACAAAGCTGCTCCAGAGTAACTTTTCTAATGCAATTTTTAACACTTTAAGATTGTGAATAAGTAATAATTTTCCAATAATTTTCCATGAAACTAGATATCGAATCTAATTGTTTGAGATTGGTTTGAAACAATTTTGTGCACTATAAGTTAATAAAACAATTGGGGGGAAAATGGCAAAGATGCCCTAGTAAGGAGCATTGTTGCACGAAAATGTTAATTTCCAATAATCAAAATAAATAGAAAAAAAGAGTGTGTTCAGCTAAAGAAGTGCAAACATTTCATTTCGTATTCACTTAATAACAGTCAATTTCTGTTCTAATAAAAATAATCTTCCTAGCCGAACCATAAGGGAAATTACGGTGTCGAGTGTGAATGGCATACATTGGCAATTATTGAATAGAAGTTTTGAATGCAATCTGCTCAAAAGGTCCATTCAAGAACACACTTGTGACAATGAGTGACTGAATAACATTGATTGCCATTTATGAATACAAGATAGGCCAAACATTCAAAAATAGAAATGAAAAGCCTTTATCAAAACAAGAAAATTATTGCAGATTGTTAAAGATGAAAAGGTTTGACAAAAGTCAAAATTGTTGTAAAGATGATCAACTGTTACTCATCATTGAAATGCATCCACCAGGCCTGTCACTTCATTTACCAGTAAAGCAAAGAAAGATCAACTTATCAATTAGATAAGAACACAAAGTCCATAATTTTGAAGCATCAAGAAAAAAAGAATTAAGAATATTATGCAAATCAAAGAGGATTTATAAAGAATGTGCAAGTATCAAACGGAGTCAACCACAAGATCATACAGTATCAAACAAATATTCAGCAGGAATAGCAATATCAATGCAATGCAAATATTTGAAGTGTCTTTCTGGCTGATATATTACAATATATAAGTTCGTATCTGTGTAATGATTTAAAACTGATCATGGAGGTATCTTATATAGTTTTTGTTTTTTTGTCATGCTAAAGACTATGATAGTACTAAAGTTAAAGTGATTACACCACTTGCACAAGCAGACATAAACCATACTCTCTTTACCATCACATCTCTGCTTCTCCGTCTCTGTACACTACTATCAGTATTATCAAACACTTCCATCTGATTCCGCTTCTCCTGAGTTTTGACTATGCTTACTTTTCATACCTTAAAAACATCCTACACAATAGACAAATAGAAGTTAAATTTAAGTTCCAAATCAGACATGATCCAAGAAAAAGACTCAGAAATTCATGTTAGTACATCCTTATATAAAAAAACATTAATGACAAAATTAAACAAAGCCCCAAAAAATAATTATATGTCAGCCTAATAAATGACATTTTAACTTAGGAAAATATCATTAAATATAAGAAAGACACAATTCCCTTGTTAGAATGACAGAAGAACATTTACTTATTAACTTGTTTGAACTCCAATATGTAGGACAATCCAACAGGCAGTTACAAGTAAGAATAAATGAACATAAATGCAATATTAACCAAGATATCATTAGACAGAATTCTCTTAGTAGACATAGAATAACAATGAACCATTGTATAGAATTCTTTGTTCGGCATGAATAATGTTCTAAATTCCTAACACAACATAATTCAATAAAACAATGTTCTAAATTCAGTAATTTAATCAAATAATTTCTCATCAAATTATTATACGTTGCTTTCAAGTTTTAAGTGTTGTAATAAATTTTCTAACAGTTGTTACCACAACTCCCCCTTCCCACCTTCCACAGCCTTCCCTCCTGTCTCTATAACCAGTGACCCACTCCCCCATCTCTTTTATTCCTACCTAGTGTCCTGGTTCCTGCATCTCAGTTCACTACATTCCCTACTATCAAACACTTTCAACTCATTCCGTTTCTCCATGACTCACTTTTGAGATAACATGAAGGAGTTGCCTACAACAACATGTAATTTATTACAACAAATAAGGTGGGCTACTATTCAGTAATGACTGCTTACTTCCTGTCTAGTTTAACACAAAAAAATTATATATTTACTTTAATTATTTTCTTTTCGTTTTTAGATTACAAATGGTTTCATACTACTTGAAAAATATGAAAATGACAGGCCTGCCCTGTTTAATAGTGTTGTGAATAATGTATTTTTATTAAATTAAAGTATGTTGACCAGAAGATGATGAGAAACCTTATTGAGTGTTTATAATTAAATCATAACTGTCATTAAGAACTGGGTTCTTTATTATATCAAACAATACCTTTAATTCACAGTTTATAATTAAATATAGACATACAACTATGATATTGATATTGAAATCTCACTGAAAACTAACTTTGAACCACTTGATTATTCTGAAGTGAAATTTAATTTTGGACAAGCTAATTATGAGTTAATTAGTAATAAAGTGTGCTCTTGATACTGGTTTTATCACTTATCAGGCAATTTTATTGATTCTTGCATTCATTTTTTATAACTATTTATATGAATTAAGTGATTAGTATGTTCCAAAGCACTTCATTCCTAAATCAACATATGATACTCTAATGATTTAAAAAAACTGAAGACTCAAAATAACATTGCTCACAATTGCTATAAACTTTCATTCTCTAGTGATGCATATTTGTTCTTCTCAGAATTTCAAAAAAGTTTTAAAACTTTAGCTAAAGGTGATTATTCATTATACATAAAAACACTTGTTTTCCCTATCTATAGAATTTAAAGCTTTTTGAAAATCCTCTAATTATATTAGAGGTACCATGGGCGTATCAAATATACAGAATGTCCGAGGAGGAAACTTCGAAAAATCGAAATAAAAGCACTTCAGACAATTTTAAGCATATTTTGTCTAATAAACTACTTTAATGTTCTGAATGGCTGAGCCGCAATAATACTTCAAATAGTAGTTTGAAAATATGCATTTAAGAAGCATAGAGCTCGAGAAACATAGATTATGTAATATTTACAAAATAAATTAATACATTTGTTTACAAAGAGGCGTTCTCGGGCTTGCGGGAAGGAGGCGGCGTGGCTTTACTTTGTGCAGCTGTTTTGGCCACTCCCCTTGTGACAGGAGGAGCGGAGAAAAAGCCTAGTCCCGGTGTACAGGAGGCAGAGACGACGTGCTCCAAACGCGATAGAAACGAGCGGAGAACTACAAGACTGGAAGCGGTTTCGGCTCAGGCCCACAATCATATTGGAGAACTGACGTTAAGAATGAGGGATTTAGAAGACGTAACCGAAGGAAAGGAAGAGCAAAATGTCCGCGTCCCCCATGAAAAAGAAGAGTAACGAGCGGCCAAATATGAGCGAGTCCCTTCAGCCAGGTGCTCCATATAGTGATGTGAAGGATCTAGGCGACTCGATGCCGCGGCACTGCGGCGGCGAAATTGAAAAAAAAAAGATGCTGACGTATCATTTTTTACCGGAGTAGACATTGCGCGAATCACTTCGGCTGTGAATAAAGCTTAACCAAATGAACAGACAGAAGTGGTTCTAGTTCATGTAGGAACCAATACGCGGAAACGGCAAACCTGTTTACGACTAATTAAACAATATATCGCACTCGGGCATGCCATCCGGTCTAAATTTAAAAATGCGAGGGTCATTGTTTCCGGAGTTTCGCGGCGGAATGACGTCCACATTAGTAAAACGTGGAACGTGAAATGTGGATTGATATGGGCTATCGAGAAATTTGATGGGCTGTTCGTTGATCCCAATCACTGGCTCGGGCACGAAGACCTAGGACGAGACGGCCTTCATCTCAACTTCCGAGGTGCATGGAAGCTGGAATGTCTGCACGACCAAGTAATATGGTCGTATTTACTTGGAAAGTGACGACTGGAGGAAGAGGCAATAATGACGCCATGGGCAGTTATGGTTACTAGAAAGGGGTCGACGCGTTTGGTGACTGCTACGGAGGAGGTGACGGAGGCGACACGAGAGTTTGCTGGAGGGGAGGCGACGCGTTTGGTGACTGCTGCGGGGGAGGAGACCGAGTCAACGCGGGAGACGACCGCGGCGGGGGAGGAGATGGCAGCGCGGCACAGGAACCTAGAACGGACGCACGGGACCCGAACACTGTCTTTCAGGTGAGGAGAGGCTTTGCTAGATTGTCGCAGGTGAACTGTCGTAGTATCAGGAAACCGAATTATGGAATTTAATTGAAACATGTGATCCGGATGTCGTAATAGGAACAGTCTTGGCTTTCCGACGCGGTAACAAACCCGGAAATGTTTCGTTCAGTCTACATTACGTTTAAGAGAGATCGCAAAACCAGAAGCGGTGGTGTCTTTATATGCGTGAAAAACACATTTAATATCAGATCAAAAGGGGTTGATAAAGAATTTGAAATGACGGGTGTAGAAATTTTCTGTTCAGGAAGTATCTTAGAAATTATTGCTTGCTGTCGTCCACGGGGCAACACTTATGAAATCTTAGGCGCCCTCTACGAAATAACAAAAAATATAAATAACCGTCATTTAGTTATTGCTGGAGACTTACATCTCCCAGACGCAAATTAAGGGGATTGTATGCAAAGGGGAAAGTCCAACAACTAGTCAACCGACTTGTCAGGGACAGTGGATTAGAGCAGGTAGTAGACCGGCCGACCCGACAGGATGCGATTCTGGATATTTGCCTAATTAGACCGAAAGACCTATTCTTGTCGTGGCGAGTCTCCCGTTGTCACTTCGGCGCGCTGCCGCGGCCCCATTTGCTGTCATAGCACCGACGGTGGCAGGATTTTCGACACTAGCCTATTAGCTAGGTAGACTTCAGTCCCCGCATGGAGAAGAATTACAGCGACCGGCTGTTTTGATAGGTAGTTTTCCGTGGTTTCTCCGATCAACGCCAGGCAAATGCCGGAGCAGTACCCCAACAAACGGACCACGGACCGCACGCGATCCTCTTCCTTGTCCCTTTCACACACACTTGCACAAACATGCACTACGCTACCGCACATGCCGGAAACCCGTCAGGAGCTAAAGGCGCCGGCTCTCGCCATACAGCGCACAGCGGGAGAAAGTTCACCGACCCCTTCCGAGCAAAAACAACATGCATTACACTTACGGGGCTAATGACCCTGGTAGTTGGCGTGCCCGGAATCACTAAACAAACAAACAAACAAACGATAACTAAAAGCAAAGATGTCCTGGTAACGAACATTCCAAGCTAAATGTTTGCTAAATAAGTTCACGTCAACGAAATGCAAAAACCTCGATTACGTCAATAGCTAAAGAGCTTGTCCCGACTGGGGCAGTGCCCCGCTGGTGGGAGATACCTGGTTGGGAGAACCCTGTTAGCCGCTAGCGGTAAGTCGGCGTGAGTTGTTCCAAAATCGTGAGTTGTTCATCTGAACTGGTTTTGATCAAAATTTTTACGGGGCATTTTAAAAGTATTTTACAGAATTTATTGACCATTTTTATCAAAGGTTTGTCATCAAAATCCGCCCCACAGTCATTAGTCCTGTAGTAAATATAGTGCACGTTTGTATCGCGGGAGGTGACTGTGATCTCCCGCGGAATGGCGAGTGTTATGTTCAGAAAATGAGACATTGTTGATCGGCTAAACGTAACTTCTGTCCAACTAACTTTGTACATTTGGTAAAACTCTTTATACAACTGCAATGTGTTTCCCAAAAGTAATCTTCCAGCGTCTTCGTCACTCGTCACGCCAGGCCGTCAGCCATCACCTCCGGCCGGGTAGAACGGGAGTCCCGAACGGCAGCTTCCCTTGCTCAGCAGTCGCCCCCGGCTGTGGTCGCAAGGGTCACGGCCCCAGTTGGGTCGTTTTCCGTCGTGGGCCTCCCACTCCCACTACAACGAGGCACGCGGCGATGCGCGCGGCGATGGTGTAACGGTTAGCGTATCGGACTAGAATTTAGGTACAGGATTAGAATTTAATTTCTTGAGATATGTTATTAATTAGTATTTATATGTGTTGTTGTTTAGTTGATCCATGTATTATATGAAAAATGAAGTTATGTTGTAAGGATGTAATAAGGGTTGTAAGGGAAGTAATCGAATAATTTGGCTAGTTGTTCGAGCTTGAACGTTTGTTGTAAGGGAGGTAATTGTACCCAGGTACCCAGTACGACTGACTTCGTGTGAGGTGCCCAGAAGCTTAGGCTCCTTTTGACTTCCACTTTGCGTAGGATCGGTATCTTTCGAAGGCTGGGGAACTAACAGCAACCACATCACCCGTTACGGGTTAACACTGATCGTACAACTACGCTTGCCGTCCACTCAGATCTCAGCAATCCCGTATCATAATACTTCAAGGAAGAGTATGAAATACTCTTCTACTGCGCACGAGTATAAGTTATTTTATGTATACATACACGATTGTTGTCAACGCAGCTTTACTAATATCGTGTAATTAACTCCACGTGCTTTATCGAAGGTACGATCGAGTGCAGTTAGTAAAGAGATTTGAAGATTTTGTTATATTAGTGATTAGCATTTCCTTTAACGAACAACAACACTTTGTTTTCAATTCATTCTTGAAATTAAAAAAAAATCAGAAACTACGAAGAATTCGAGGTATAGTTTGGAGTTCGGTGTCTCATTGAGGCAATGGTACCAGGCTTGTTTTCCACATCGTGGTTAAAATAGAAAAAAAAATATTAAAGAGAAATTAAGAAAACAACATATCAACGAAACGCTTGAGAGCAAGAAATACAGAAAAAAAACAACCGAAATGCGTACATTCCAAACGTGTACATCCCATACACGAGCAGAAGAGCCTGGCACACATCGTTGTCATTGTGTCAACGATTTTTTACTTTCTCGGTTACAACTAAGGAAAAAAAAGAAAACGCCTAATGGTGACGTAGAAACAAAAACAAATACTTCAGGAAACGAGTGGTGGTAACACAACACACACTTTTTCATATTAACTGTTGTTCAGGCGGCGAAATAGTCGAAGGAAAGTTGGGAGAGCATTTTGATGGAAATGGCAACGGAACATCGGCTCTTCTGTTCTGTGAAAGAGACGACACTCAATTGACAAAGAGTACTTACTTGGAGAAAGAATTAACGAGTATTGAAGAAATTGTCACAGTTACATCTGTCCAAACGAAATTAAACCTTTTCTTACGAACTCCGTGGGTTTTGCTTCCTGTTTTTACTGCATCCATTGCCTGGCACACCTCGAACCTTGAAGACGTTCAAAACGCTTTTACTCAGCTATCGGCATTAGCTTGTGGTGACAATGCGAGCAGGCGTCTTATCTAGAAAATCGGTGATTCCAAGTATAGCGACAAAGCTGATTTTACGCGGACTGCCCAGGCGCTGGTGCGATCTTTTGGTGACGCTCCGAACTAATAGAAAGCAGTCGACAATAGACTTCCAGGAACTTTGCACGAAGAAATGAATGTTTGATCGGCAGAGAAGAAATTCGCGCGGCTTTTTGGAGAAAATTAAGACTCGCAGGCGCCAAGTTTAAAATGTATTATCCTTTCCTCTGAAACGCCTTCAAAAAACATCAAACGCTCTGTTAAAAAACAAGGCGCCAAATTTGAAGTAATTTGGCCGGCCATTGCCAACAATTGTAAATTTCGAAATTGACTGTGTAACGAAAATGGAACTGCACCATTTCTATAAACGTAATTTTTTACACTCGAGAAGGGAATGGAGCCAGTTTCAAGATAATATTTTTAATTGACTTCATATATTATAGATATACACACTTTTTCACTTTTTTTTGTAATTTTCGAAAATACAGAGGGTTCACCGGAAATGTAACCACTGCAATTTTTAAAGGAGTAGGCGTTGAAGTAAAATCGTAAGAGAAATTAAATACAAATTTATCGGCTAATTATTCGCAGACAATTTCCTCACAACTATCAGAAACTATCTACATACGAATGGAAACACCAAGTGTTTTGAGATACCAACATCAGACGCGGATCGTCATTAAAGGCTGTAAAACAGAGCCTCTCCTATAGAAATAGCCCCCAAAAGAAATTTGAAAATATATTTATAAATGTATTTATTTATTAATAATGGATTTCTTAGTTATATTACACAACAATCTTATCTAATTTTTTCTTCGTCAGTTCGTTTACGGCTGTCCGTAACGCATTTGAAGAAGCCCTTGACAGGGAAAAGAAAAACGTTAGGCTCCCATTTTATTCTGCTATAAGGCCTGTGTAAAATGTGGTGCGTGACGTCATGCATTCCCTGTATCCTTCGTCCTCCTGTAAGATGGGTGGACGAAGGCTACAGCCTGGCAGCCTTCAAGGGTGGAACCTAGGGTCTGAAGAAGCCATTTTTTTTTTATTTTTTCAATGTGCCATTTTTTGGCCCAGTTGCTAAATAATGTGAGGTGATGCAGAAGATCTCTCACGACAGATTAAAGATTGCTATTGGAGGAATCAAGTACTGTATCATCACCAAATGCAAATAAAAGCCAGGCAAAAATATTTACCTTTCGTAGACTACACGTCCCCCCAAATCTCACATACCAATCACAAAACATCACCGGGCTCCCCCCCCCCAACAAAACTGTCAAATATCTTGGGGTCCTGATCGATAAAAGGCTTACATGGCGGCAAAATATAAAACACCGAATAACGCTAGCGACTAGTAGAGACCATCAATTATATCCGATTCTCAACATCATCCCCCCTACAACTACATGTTGCTATTCACTTCTAAAAAGCAATGATACGACTAACACTTTCCTACGCTCCTTCAGTCTGGGCTGCCGCAACCAAAACAAACATCAACAATGTCCAAATTTTTCAAAATAGATTCCTACGCACCATCACAAACGCCCCCTAGTACACTCCGAATGCGCAATTACATAATGAACTTGGCATTGCACCAATCCCCGTCCATTTCTCCCTTGTAAATTAAAGAACCCTTCAGTTATTCACTTTCACATAGGTGAGCAAAATCATCACCGCAAAAGGTAAAAAGAAAGTTACCACAGTTTTTCCATACCCCATAGACATGAACCGATGAGTCTTTTCTCTTTATAAACTACTGTATATAACCACTGTATTCTACCTTACATTAAAATTTATAAAGTTTCAAGATTCATACAATGTAGGCTTTCACGGCCGGTTTCTACATAATAATTAGTTGTTTCCGGGTTTGTAGGCCGTGATCCAACGGAGACTGATCCAAACGTTCCGCCTGCAACTGTAGCAAGCATCGTCAGTGGCGTTGCTGGCGGGGGCGAAGTGTCCTTGGCAGCACCGCGTTGACTGACGCTCCCGCGGCTCTGGGACTAGTATTAATGGTGAAAGGCGAGGTTCGCGCGCTCGCGTCTGATTGGGTCGAGCCACCGGTGCTCGCGCCTGATTGGGCCACGTCAGCGGTACTGGTTGGCTGCCGAGTTTTGGACTCACGGAGTGTGGGGTACCATGTACTTTTTAATTTTTCACCTTCTTTTCTGTTGAAATTGTTTCTATGTTTGTAAATCTCGATGGCTTCCATTTGGAGTCTCTTGTAGTGTGTGGTGGTGGAGAGAATATCCGTCGCTTCAAAGCGCATGTCGTGTCCGCGTTCCGACAGCGCGTGATTGCTCCACTCTGGTGTAACATTCGTGTTCGCCTGACCCCCTCTCGGGCTGCATCGAACGTGGGCGGTTTTGGTGGATTTTATTGTTTGGGTTTTCGTCTCCTCTCCCCCGTACGGGACGGGGACGGGAGTCTCGAGTGGTCATGGATGGTGTTGATTTTTCTTGCGGAAAGAAGGGTTATTTTATTAGGGTCTGTGATGGGCGGGGGGGGGGATTTAGGATTGGGGAGGGATGGGGGGTGGATGGAAAGGTTGGCAAGGTGTGCTAATAGGAAGGCGGTCCGGAGTGAATTTGTTTCGACGGTTATTCTTCAGCGTGTCAGTAGTTTTGTCAAGTCATTGTTAGTCGGTTATGCTGTTGACGTGTTTTAGGTGTCCTCTGGCTTAGGTTATAGGAGAGGGGGAGTTTTAACTCAGTATTGTCCACAGGGGGTATTTTTTTCCGGTGTGTCGTGGTGGTTGCGAGGATGTGGTAGTGGGAAACGGGGGGGATTTTTGGTTTCGGAATATGGGACTGTTGATATATTTTCGGATTTGGGATATGCCAGAGTTGTGAGGTATGTGAGGATATGAGGGATTTGTATCGGAGTCTTATGGAATTGTAATGTGTAATAGGAGGGCGGATAAATGAGGCGGAGTTGTTATGGTTTTCTACTCGAGTTAGTTTAGTTGCGGTTGGTGTAGGAAGTGGCAACCAGGTTTGGGGGGCGTATGATAATGGATGTGGGCGATGTAGGAGTTTGTAGTTTGGATTATTCTTTTGGTGGGTATTGGGGATTGATGAGGTAGGTGTAGGGTATTGGTGATCCTGGTTGCTTTCACGGTAGTTTTATGATGTTATGGGACCAAAGGGAGCGCGGGGAGAAGGTTACACAAGGTAGGCTATTTCAGATGTCTAGGGGATGGGTACGTTTCCGATAGGTTTTAGGGGGTGGATGGGTACGTTTTGTTAGGGAAAAGTAGGAATTGCTTGGGATTTGGAGGGGATTATGATGATGGGATATTTTGGGAGCCAGAAGGTGAGTAAGAGATGTGATGGAATCTTGTAGGTAGGAAAGGGAATCTATTTAGGGAGTTGAAGGAGATTAGGAAGGCAGTCATCAGCGTTATAGGGGGTTTGTACACCTGGTGTCTGGGGGAATGTCATTTACATAGATGGAAAACAGGATTGGGTATAGCACAGCGCCCTGTGGGGACGCCGGCTTGGATGGGGGTAATTTGGGAGGTTTTTGAGAGGCGTGTCGGATGTGGAAGGATCGTGGTTGAGGTAACTTGTAGGAAAGTGTGGAATGGGTTAGGGATTTGTGGGGTTCGGATTTCATAAGTAGGATTGGGTGGGAAACGGTGTCATATTGCCTGGGTTAGATCTGTGAATATGCTGGATCTCTTTTCTGTGTTTGGAGTGGAGTGGCTGGAAGGAATAGGTTTATGTTTGGAGGCGCGAGCGACCCTCACGGAAACCAAATTTGATTGGGGTTAATGATTGGGTCGAGGGAAAGGTGTTAGGCGGAGTAGGAGTATTTTCGAGATGTTTCGAGGATGGGTAAAAGGACTTATATGACGGTGGTTGGTGGATGTCGAATGATCCTTGTCGAGTTTGGGAATCATGGTGACGCGTGCGGTTTATTCCAGTCGGATGGGAAAGTAGGACAAGCTTTAGACAGGAG